ACGAAAGTGCAAGGCACGACGAAGAATATCCGTACGTTCATATCGCAAGGCATGCATTTATATTTATATTTGTCGCGATATTCCGCGTCGCTCTGTTTTTTGCGACGTACAACCTTGATAATAATATACTACTTAAATGCAGTTCATCAAAACGTTCCAAGCAACTCCGCATAAGAAGCGCGCCTATTGTTCGTCTCGCTCAGGTCGGTTGTATTTGAAACGTAGGCTTTTTTTCGCGTCGATTGTTCTCTGCAAATTATTAACAGTCTCTCGTTGCAGTTCTCGTAAACAAAGCGATCGATATTCATGAATTTCCCGGCGACGACGATCGAAGCGTGCATATACTCCGGGAGACGAGAAGAAACTCCGTCTACATCTTCCATTTCTCGTCGAAGAGGAGAAGAGACGAGAAAGAAGAGACTGCGAGCCCGAGGAGACTAAAAAGAAGAGGAAAAAGAAGAGGCAAGAAAACGGCGGCAATTGCGGTTGAACAACGAACTCTCGTCCGTCACCGATTAACCTTCCCGCGTAATCCGTTAGCGAGTAACGCGGGCAGGAGAAGAAGAAGAAGAAGAAGAAGAAGAAGAAGAAGAAGAAGAAGAAGAGGAGACTCTGCCTCGGCGCGGCGCCTTTGGTGGGGTCCGAAGTGACTCCGAGGCGGCCTCTGTTGCAGAGTAATGCAGAGCGGCTCCGCTTCGCTCCGATGCTCCGATCCAGCAACAGCGGAAGAGAGCAATCGCGGCAACGCCGCATTCCCGAGTGCCGAGCGACAGGCGCATTCTCCCCTTCCAGGGTGTCTTGGGGCGCATGCGCGTTGCCGTATCCCGACACGCGAAACCGCGCGCCAACCAAGAACCACCCCCGCGCGTCTTCATCCTCTCGTCTGTTTCTCTCTTTATCTTTCTTTTCGAACCGGCTCCGCCGCGGCGCACGCGCACGCGGATCTTGCCACGTGTGTGTGGCTCTCGCTGCCGCCGAAATGCCGTCCATCGGAGCAGGAACGCGCTCTGCCGTGCGAGAACGCCAATGGCAACTATATTCCCGCCGCGAATCGTTTTCGACGCGTCGCGCGATTGGCCGGCCGTTTCAGCCGGGTCACCAGGTACCCGTCGTTATTTCTTCTTCGATTCTCCCTTTACCGATATCTCTCTCTTCTTTCGACTCTTCGACTCTCGTCTTTTCTTTTCGGCCGACCTTTTCTTATTTCGCGCGAAGAGAAAAAGAGAGAGAGAGAAAGAGCGTCCAACTCTCTTCACCTGCATCTAATTTTAAACCTGCGTGTATGCAAAATACTTGCGCATTCTCGATTAGAATAATGGATCGTGGAACCTGCGTAATCCCGTTGTTGCTGTATAGCAACAGCGGCGAAATAAGTCGTACGATAAAGAGAGAGAGAGAGAACTGTTTTCCACTGTATTCCTAAAATAAGATTGTAGAAAATGTTTATCGCGAAAATAATCTGTAACCTTTCGTGTTGGATTCACTTAACTTTGAAACAAGCAAAATTGGAAAATGGAATGTATATTAAGACACTTTGGTATATACTTGCGGGATTGAAATAACAAATCCATACTTAGAGGGGGAGGAAAGGGAGGAGGAGCACAAGAAAATCCGAGGAATAATTATACCGCTATATCGGGTAACGGATGTCGACAATTTCTCGCGAATGTCGCGGGTCAGGCCGACGACTCGCTTTTACCTGGGGCGCGATCGATGGGAACCTTCGCGAGTAAAATACATACGAGAAGCGAGAGAGAGAAAGAAAGATAGAGATAGATGTCAGGAACGAGGTCGTTGCTAGACGCAAATGTTATTTGCGTGGAGAGCAAATCGCGTTCGGGAAAATATACCGTATTATATCGGACATTAACACACTTCGATGATCTTGTAATCTATATATTTCGTTTCGACGAAATCGATTCATCGGATTGCTTTGTATTATTTAATGCAGATATTTCAGAAAGGCTTACAGTAGGAAAATTTGGGTTTTCTTGTTAAAAACAGTCTCTGTTAAAATTTTTGTGTTCCATATTTTTAACACATTTTTATGTAAACATATTGCTGTTGTGTTAATTGAACCTAAAGGTTAAATAAAACAACTGAAAAAAATGTAAAAATAATATATTGTGCATCTATTTTTAATTTTACACAATAAATATGTTTATTAGTGGCAAGAGATTTATCTGTTAAAATTTACAGAAAAAAATGTTGATTTTTTATTTTATAACATAAGTGAGGATGATGAAATCTAAAATTAACATATTTTTAGTTAATTTTTACATTAAAACTATGTTACTTTTATATAAAATTTATTTTAAATTAATTTTACATTTATTTTATGTACAAAATATTAACATGGTATTTGTGTCTCTATTTAACATATCTATATTATGTTAAATTAATGCTAAAAACGCTTGTGGATTGTTTGAAACATATGATATCGGTTAAATTTAATATAAATTTTTCAAAGCTTTCATTATCGATTATCGTTTTCGGCCTTTTAATATTATTTTAGTAATAGATGCATTATACATATATTAAACTCCATCCTTTTACCGTTATCAGGTGGTTTAATTATACAACAGCAATTCGCTTGTTACTGATTGATGATGCGTTGCTTGTTAAGAAAATCGTATATTATTTAGCGCAAGATAGACCATATTCTTTTTCTCACATTAATACTCGGGGCATTCGATATCGATCCATTTCATTTAATGTCTGGTGCTCGCTGCTGTCAAGATCACTAATTAGTTCAATTAAATTAACAGCCGGCGAGGTTCCCGACGAAGAGAGAGAAATTGCAATTTTTGCAATCACATTTTTTATTCTCAGTTAACTAAACTTATAGACTCCGCTCATTAATCAGAGTTTTATATAGATTTTTTAATGAAAATTGATCAAATTCAATCTCTTTCCAAAATATATATATATATATATATATATATATATATATTTAAATATTGCAATACATATGCTTTTAAATATACAGTTAAATATAAGTTTCAATTCTGTCACATTTTTTATATAATTTTTTTACATTGTATATTATATATACATTTTCACTTTTGGTGTCTTTAGGATTAATGATCCGCAATTTCCGTGCATTTTGTTGCGACGTACTCGGAGCGGATTCGACGTGATTACAGGCTGGTTCGATGAGATGCGCGATACGTCCGAGAAATCTCATCGGCAAGTACTGTTATTCGCGTGAATATCAACCAAGTTAATGAACCAGATCGCCAGGTGAATTTGTAAACTAGAAGAGCGCGTATTTAAATTATTGTCACGATTTTGGCTCTCTTTCTCTCTCTCTCTCTCTCTCTCTTTCTCAATGAGTTTATTTATGTATGCAACGTTAAGGCCGTTTAAATTATATGATTTAGTTCGTGGCTGATAGAAGATCCGTGACGAATTAATACGAGCCACATTTGTTACTGTATATATAAAGTGATTATAAGATATTAAATCATTCAGTCTTTGTAATATATTTTTTAATTTTTCAATTTTTCTACGATGAATTTATTATAATGATATAAAATAGATGATTATTCGCGTAAATATTTTAATGATAAAAATTAAAAATTGTAAACAGAGAGAACGTTCAATTTTGTTGTAAAATTTCTTACATATCTCCGTCAAATTTTACTTTTTGATTTTAAACTCGCTATAAACGTTTTGACATTAATTTAATGGTTTCAAGCAACTCTTGCATTATCTCATGTATATTTTTACGTGTGTCTCGATATTACGAATTACGAATTATTCGATTCATCGAATACATCATCATTTTATTGATCGAAAAGAGAGAGTGTGCGCGATGTGGGAAAATGAATCGGCGAAATGTTAAATTCAATTTAACAGAAAGTCTTCATTTTGACATTTCGAATTACATAGAGCGGGTGGCTTTCGGAAAAGGAATCAGAAATTTCGATGGAATCGTAAACGTGATTGGATAAAGAGAAAAAAAAACATCCCAATGGATATCGATCGGCTATATAAAGTTGTTAGGCCGCTGTCAATCATATATGCTTGACAGTTTTCTTTTTCTTCTAAGCCGCTCAAATTGGATCACCCGTGTGTGTGTGACGTGTGCCGGTGACACAGGAGCCGATAAACAAACTGCTGCAAACGCGTTCTGATATAACAAGCTCACTGAATGATTAATATAAATACTGAGAGATAGAAGAGATGGATCGTCCTATATATCATTCTGACAATTTTAATTTTCTACTTTTGATATTTATAAAATTATATATGTATATAAAATATTTTCTCTTATATCAAATATTTATATATTTAATATAAGAAGCGTAAATATAGAAAATATTTCTTCAAAAATATCTTCCGTGCATTCATGCAAATTTCACGTTATCTATTTTACATATCGAATTGTGAAAATATCTTTTCGTATATACAATGCATACATATATAGTTTCTTATTTCGATCATAACAATAATAATATAGAGTAGGTTAAATCAAAGTTAATTTATTATTGACGAATGATTGATCTCGTGCGATTAGACTTTGATTATGTCATTACTTATTTTGCTGCTTAAATTTAACTACATTTTGATATAAGAAGAGGCTGTATAGTATGTGCAACGCGATTTTTAAATATAGTGATATTATCAATGTACTACTATCTTTTATCTGTCAACTGCAAAATATCATATCAGCTCATCTATTCCTGGAAAGCTCAAGTCTGCAAATGACACTCATTATCGCAGAGAGACTTATTATGTATCTCGTGTTTATCTCTACCTTTATACTTTCACATATTATATTGTCGAAGCTAAATTAAATAATGGTTAGATAATTAACAAAGTCGAACGATACAATAACAGTTTATAATAAAAGTGTCTTTTATCGTATCCAATAATTTCTACAGCACACAGCGAGAAATAATGTTATCCTCGCGCGAGAGCCTTTTCTTTGATACTTACAATCCCTGTATACTCTGACGCGAGAATCTAACTCATATATTTACGATTAATTGCAGACCAACGCAGAGCTATGTCAACATCAAGAGCAGCAGCCCGGTGTCTCCGAGGACGGTAGGAACGGGAGCGACGTACGTGCAGGGTGGCGCGGCCGCGTCCTCCGCGGCGGCTGCGGCGGCGACTGCCGCCGCGACCGCGGGCGGCCCTGCCGTCGTCGCTGGAGTTAGCACCGCGACGAGCAGCGGTAGCAACGGCGGCGTGGTCGGCGTCTCGAACGTCTTATCTGCAGCGGCGGGTGGCAACAGCAACGTGAACAACGGCAACGCGAACAACGGGGGTGCGAGCAACGGCGGCGGTGGCGGCGGCAGCGGTCCTGGTGGCGGTGGAAACGGCAGTGGCGGCGGTCCTGGTGGCGGAAGCGGCGGTCCTGGAAGCGGCAACAGCAACAACAGCGGCAACGGCGGTGCTGGAGGCGGCAGCGGTGCCACGAGTGGCACCCCTTACGTCACCGTACCATCGATGCTCCGTTACATTCATTCCTATCCGCCGACCTCGGTGTCGGCGTCGGCGGTAGCGGCGGTCGTCACCACCGCACCGTCGCCGGCGGCACCCGTATCCGCACCCGCACCCGTACCCCCTCCGACTCAGCCGACCGTCATCGCCAGCCAAACACCGCCACCGCCGCTCACCGGGACTGCCTATGCCGCGAGAGACGCGTATCGCACCGGTACCACGAACGTAGGTATTTCCATGGCGCGAAACTCTGCGCACACACGTACACGTATACATACACGGCAGACATAATACGCTGGTGTGCGCGCGCAAATATACTTTATCGTCATCTTTTCCTCGAGGTCTATCGCTTTGCTCGGGATATCCCCGATACGGCGTCGCGACGCATCGAACGGTCACGGTCACGCAAGGACGCCCGAGAACGAAGAGGATTCTCTGCTTTTTTTTTTTGAAAGTGTACTGTAAAATTGTAGTAAAATAATGTGAAGTTGCAACGGGATACGAAGAAGTTCCTTCTCGAGAAAATTGCTTCCTTCAACGCTTCTCTTATCGCTGTAATAAATATTTCAATATTAAGAAAACGGACGTTCGTACACGCATATGTATATTTATGCATAATATGATGTCATGTATTTACATTTTATGACTCTATTTTTAGACTCGTTCACTTTTATCTCGCCATTATTTTCTATAAATTGGTGCAATCGGTGAGGTGCGTGTAAATAATCTTACGTACGTGAAGATTATGCAAATAAGGAACTTGAATTTTCGCTCAACACAATCTTGAAAAGATTCGACGCCTTAAAAGTCTCTCTTTGTAGCTGTTTGCTAGCAATTGAGTCAGTCGAAAGTCTTCCGAAGGAACGATTTCTTGATTGTAACGAGCGACGTCGAGATGCCCGTTTTCGTGTAAGAATAAATAGAGATTCAACATTCGTAGCATCGAATTGTAGAATAATCGGAACACGCAATCACGCAACGCAATCGTATATATACGCACGCCGTATCGGCCGGGGCCTCGTCCTTGACTTTCACCGATTATCGGTTCTCCTCTCCTTTTTCCCTTTCTTTTAACAATACGATCCGCGTGCGCGTGCTGACGTTGTGCAGTTTTAAATATGGCACGTCATTGTTAGCACAGAATTGATGAGCAAGAACGATGTGCAAGTTCTTGCCAGACGTTTAAATCTATACATACATAGATATATATATAATTTCACGATGACGTAGCATTTGATCATGCTGACAAATTAATCTCATGACGAAACCGCGCTTATATGTACAATTAAAAATACATTTAGATATAATAATAGGAAAAAAGTTAGAGGTGAAAAGTGTGTAAAAGGAAATATGAGTTATATAAATGAGAAACTTGATACTTAAATATTAATGTATACGATATTTCTTTTACACAAACACATCCGAGTGAATAGCAATTTGCGATTACGATATCTACGTACAATTATGAAGTACTCGTGAGAATAGTTTTATGAAAAAGAACAAAATGATATCTCTCGTTCTTCGTGAAGTTTTTGGGAAATTTATTCAAGTATTTCTAGCGAATCGTGCAATATGATATTGCTGAATATCGATTATTCAATTTTTATAAAGTTTCCCGAATCTTAAATCAAGTTAGAGCCACGGCATAACACAGTTCTAACGGACATTATCATATTTAGCTCGTAGCCACGATGCGAGTGGGCGGGTGAAAGTTTCAGTCGCCCACTCTCGAGCTACACATACACGTGCTTGTTGTACACAATTGCATCGTATTTTGTTTATTTCTTACGTATAAATATTTCGAGCCGGTTGTCACGGTTTATACAATAATTTGTATATTACGGAAACAATGCTTGTTCGAATTTACGACATCCACGACAAATCATGACGAACGAGTAAACTAGAGCGTTGTGCGCGCAAAAGTATGTATGATAAGAAATAAAGAAAGAAGTTTTCGACCAGATGATTGCGCAAAGTGCGCGGGAGATGTAGGGGACAGTGCAGCGGTCGCGGGGAGGATATATATCGCGCGTTTTCTTGAACCGGGTCATCGATTTTCCTGAAATAGTTTCGCGGCGGAAGGTTAGAAGAGAGTGTGGAGCGAGAGATAAATTGAACCTCTGGCGAAGAATAAGTTAGACGACGAGGAAAGGGGATAGAAACGATGAGATAGAAGAGATAGAGCAGAGTGGAGGCGGAATAAGACTTTTGACACTGTAACGTTTTTCTTTTCAGGTGAACGAGAGGATCGCTATCAGCGTGAGCAACAGTCCTCTGTCGCAAGTCGGCGTCGGGGTAGTGGCCGAGTACAGCGGCATGGGAGCCGGCGGCAGAGGCGATCGGCCGAGGATATCCCTCTTGCCGCCTACTGGCTCCTCGGTGACGCCAATATCGTCGCCGACCGCGGCTGCCGCGTCCGAGTATCACACGGCGGCGGCGAGAAACCCGTCGCGGGTTTCAGGCCTCATGCCCGTCCAACCGGATCAGTATTGTACTCGCACCGCCGTCGATATGGCCAGTCTGCAGCAAGACACGCCGCCCTTCAAAAAGATCCGTCTGGGTCAGCCGCATCAGCAGGTCCAGCAGTTGCAATCACAGCCGCAGTCGCGCTGTCAGAGCCTGTCGCCCGCGGACCCGTGCGGCGGCAAGCAGGAGCAGCAACAGCATGTGCAATTGCAGCAGCCGCTTAGGATAGACATCAGGGTGAGTGTAACGTGACAGTCTATCTTGATCATTTGACAGACAGTTTATATACAATCTTGAGAGTCTTTAAGGCTGTTGGTTGCTTGCTGATCATGTTGGAATTGTCACGTCAGAAGCGAGAGAACACACGCATTTTGAAATGAAAAGATATTTCGATGAAACAGTGTTTCGGATGACTTTAGCATACTCTTAAAATACCTCCAAAAACTATCCTTTTCTTTTTATAATCAATCGACAGCTGTAAAATGATTGTACGGTTGTTGACGATTAACTGTCGAGGGAAAAAACTTTTCAAGGTATTTTAAATAGGGTTTTCGAGATCTTTTCATTCAAAAATGGCATCTAAGAATTTTCAGCGTGTACTTTCTCACCTCTGACGTCACAATCCAACATGACCAAGAGAGCCTTAAGGGAAAAAACTACAAATTGAAACAAATGACAGAACGTTGTATAAATATGAAACGGACGTATCAAGTAGGACGAAATAGAACAACAAAATAAATATAAATTGAATAAATATATTAGACATAATAAATGATATGACGAATTTTTGCTAGGAGCAGCCTGCCGTGGGTGCATATACGCCACAAACGGAAGCCATTTCGCCTACTCTTCCAGAGCCGAATACGCAAGAGGAAGCTCTTAGAAGTACCAAGGACGAGCTCTTGCAGCAAATCGGCAAGGTCGATAGAGAAATTGCCAAGAGAGAGAACCAGTTGAATATGTTGCGGAAGAGGATAAAAGAATTGGAAGAAGCAGCGAATAAGCCTCTGGAAGCGAGTGGTCTCAAACGTAATATTGAGGAACAATCGCAGCAACCAAAGCATCAATCGTTGGCGCAAAAGATCTATGCTGAAAATAGGGTAATTACATTTAAATATTATTTATTTATTTTTTATTAGATTAGATTAAATATGTTAAGCATAAAGAAACGATTGATAAGTGTCGATTAATGAATTTTAATTCGATATATTTTTATTAACAGCGAAAGGCAGAAGAAGCGCATAGACTCATGGAAAAACTAGGCCCCAAGATAGAGCTACCTTTATATAATCAACCGTCGGATACGAATGTGTATCAGGAGAATCGCACACGCCATCAAACGTGTATGCGAAACAGGCTCATAGCAACGTTGCGGAAAGATCACACTGAACGTGCATCTCTTCATCGGCAACAAACGCAAACGTACACAATCTTGGTTCAAGAGTGGCATCGGAAGGTAGAACGGCTGGAGGCGACGCAGAAGAGAAAATCGAAGGAGACAAAGAATCGCGAGTTCTTCGAAAAAGTGTTCCCCGAATTGCGAAAACAGAGGGAAGACAAAGAGCGTTTCAACAGAGTTGGTGCTCGCATCAAGAGTGAAGCCGATCTTGAAGAGATAATGGATGGTCTACAGGAGCAAGAGGTATATCACGTTACTGTCATTCTATTTATCCAAGTAGTCACGGAGTGAGCGATGCGATACATTATTTAAAAGGGAGAAACCAAAATTATTATGGTGAGGATGAAGAAATGGTATAGGGAGTATAGTAAAAAGAAGGCACGTTACTAAAATTAGCTTTTATAAACGCTAATTTTTCACAACTCCAAGTGGGAACCCTATAAACGTTAACGAAGATTTATTCAGTTTTGTTAAATCAGCGGTAGAATGAAAACTATCTTAGCATACAAATTTCTTTTATTGCCATTAAACGAAAAAGTTTTATTTATTATTTAAATATTAATTATTTATTTAAAAAAACGATTTTTAGATTCAACATACCTTTACAGCAAGTTGATCTATATTAGTTTGGCAAGTTGGTTTTATTTTGCTTTGTTATAATTTTTTAAATATTTATTTTGGCCTTAATGAATTATTTAGTGCATTAAGATATAATATATTTGATGAAACTATATAAATTAAATATAAATATTGGAAGTATAATAATATGTAATTTTGTTAACATATTTAAACTCTTTGTATGCTTAATCTAGAGGGAAAAAAACAGTACTTTATAGTTAAATTTGATTTTACCTAATTTTCGCATTATTGAATTTTTTGATATTTATGCCAAAATACATACAAATAATATTTTAATTGTTTATATTCTTAATATAGTAAAAATTAACATAAATCTTTTGTTTTGTCAATTTTTCTGTTGATTTGTCTTATCTCTTTTTTTTCTCTAAAGCACTTCTGTGAAACGCCATTGTCATATGAAACGAATAACTAGAGGTTCATTATAATAAAAGGATGGTAACTGACAGTTTCTTCCTATCTTTAGACATTTATTTTCTCTCTTGGTCTTCTACTGTATACGGACCAGGGAAAGGATGGCAAACTGGATGGAGATGATTGAAAGTTACCATCGGATGTACTAATAGATGTACAGAACAATAGAATTTTAATTGATTCGGATTTACAACATATTTACATGGTAGAAAAATTTTCGGAATAGAATGTCTTTGTGCAATTGGCGATGTCATATATTCTGGTCCTCTTTAAAATTTTTATTTTATGTTAAAATTTTCTTTTGTTATTAATTCTTGTTTTGACATTTTTTTGATGATGCTTCATGGAAGATATCTAACCTTTACTGATTCCCCAGGAAGAAACATTGCAAGATTTAAAAAATTACATTAAAGATCGTCAGGTTAGTAACGTGCGCTTGCTCCCTTCATTCTTATCCTCACACAATACATTAGTTATGGATCATATACTATGTCATTGATTTCTGCAAAAATGTGCGTTAAATTAATAAATCGAAATTATGCTAGCTTAATGTAATAAACTGCAAGAGATACATTGGATCCATAACTATTACTAAAGATTAAAAGCATTAATCTATGTTATATTACATTATCTTATATATTACATTATTCTCTATATTAAACAAAACATTTATATACTAAACTATTTTATCAATATACTTTTTTTAATTAAAAAAATGGTTTTGCTATTGAGTTACAAGAAGCTAAAAGTTGAATAAAAAATGTAATGCATCATAAAAGTATATTGATAAAATGTACCTTTTTAATATTAATATTTTAAAGGGATAATAGATATATGGAATTATTGTCTGTGACAGCTCGAGGATAAGAAGATGCGCTCGTATGCAGTTATACCGCCTCTTCTGTTGGATGCGAAGCAACGAAGAATTGCCTTCCAAAATCGGAATGGACTGCTCCAACCAGAGGAGTTGGAAGCTCTGCACAGTGAACGTAAATTGATCAATGTATGGAGTTCCGTGGAGCACGAGTCATTCAAGGAGAAATACCTTCAGCATCCCAAAAATTATGGAGTGATAGCTCAATCGTTAGAACATAAGGGCGTTCAAGATTGTGTACATCACTACTACCTCACTAAGAAAACGGAGAATTATAAACAGCTTCTACGAAAGTCGCGTCAACGAACGCGAAGTTCTCGGAATAATCCGAATAATAAAGTAAGCTTCATTATAATTATAATTATATAGATTAAAATATATAGTAAAATACATACGAAAACGCGCGTTAAAATGTATATTATTTATATTAAATTTTAAAATTACGATTCTTTATTGCTATCTACATTAATCATATATAACATACTGAAAAGCGTACAAGTGGGAATTTTATTTTAGCTTTATTTATAATTTATTTTATTATCAAACGAGACAGTTGTTAAATGATTATTCTTTATCTGTCTTGCATATAATCCTAAATTTAACCACAAGAGTACATATAGAAATGATAAAATTCTCTATTCTAGTTTGTTTAAATATTTTTATTTCCATTGCATAGTTTAAAAATAGAGAACAATAGATAATGTTAGAAGCTGCACCTGAGTGCATATAAAAGTTGATCCACATAAGTTCACATTATGACACAAGTAATTAAGAAAGAAAAATAATTAATAGTAAGAGCTATTATTATTGCTGTTTAGTATGAATAATGATAATAATAGCGCTTGCTATTAATTATTTTACATTTTTCATTACTTATGTCATTGTGAACTTGTGTGTGATAAACCTTTATGTGTACTCACAATCAGTGTGCACTAGTGCATCTAACCGAATTCGCTATTAGTCGTTTCTTGTCTAAGATGTAATCGGCCGTCTTTTAAGGTAGTTTTTCTTCCAGTATGTTGCATAATTTATTATCAATAGTAGAAATTAATCTTTATTCTGCTTTTTAGAATTTTTAATATTTTACTGTGAAATACAAATTTATTTCTATCTTTTTCAGAAAAGTTGATAAAATAATCTATAAAATCCAAGGAAAAAACCTAATATACATATCAATTTTATCTTTTGAATATGTCAAAACTTTCCTTTTAAAAGCCCAAATCTTATTTGAGGATTAAATTGAAATAATTTGCAAATATGAAGCATTTTATTTGTATATTGAGAAAAACTTTGATCAAGAATGTTCCTATAACGAATATCATGTAACATGTAAATGTGATATTGTTTCAGGTAAATAATACCAGTTCGAGCATCGGATCTATAGATATTTTAACGACAGGGGTAACGACGAGATTGCAGCGGGAGCAGCAAAAGACTCAGGAGAATCCCATAGATATTTTAACGGTAGGGATAACGACGAGGTTACAGCGGGAGCAACAACAGAAGACTCAGGAGAATCCTCATAATAGTTCGGTAACAGCTACGTCTACATCGACAACGAGTACCACGGTTACATCGAGCGTGTCGTCGACTACTGTTACGACTACGTCGGTTACGACGACGACGACTCCCCAGAGCTCGACAGCATCGGGCGTTAGCGTAACGGCAGATTCCACAACGTCATCAACGACAACGACAACGACGTCAGTCTTGAACACGACAGCGTCGAGTGTCTCGGCGACGTCGACGACGTCCAACGCGAAGGATTCCAGGGAGACGAGCAAGGAGAACAAGGAGAACAAGGTCGACTCGAAGGAGTCTCATAAGGATTCAAAGGAAGAAACGCAAGAGACGTCGGGGAAGGATGTTAAAGTAATGTACGTTCACTGACAACGTTACTAATTTATTTATTTTCTTATATATATTATATTAATTCTATTATATAATTATTATATATAATATATATCGCGTATATATATTATATATGTTTAAGTAATTTGTTTGTACCATTTTTAAGATGTGTCTAAACTTTTCTATAATTACATGTATAACTTATATATATGTAAGCAATGTTTCTATATACATATTATTTATACATAAATATACAAGGTGTCTAACATAAGATGTTATATCAAAAATCTACAAGTAGATCTTGTTATTTGGAGACAAATTTTCCTTAGCAAAAATATTGAGGTATCAATAATTTTCGAGATATAAGCGATTGAAACTAAACTAATTTATTCGCAAACCAAACCTTGTGGAAATAAAATATTAACAAAACCACATTCTCCAAATTCAAATAGAGTTCCAATAATGTCAAATAGAATTTACTTTAATAAAATTTTAATTTAAGGTTTAGTTATAAAGATACATGATGACAAAAATTGGGAATATGCAAAAAATTATGACTCCCTCGACATTTTTGCTGAGGAAAAATCGTCTCCAAATAACGAGATCTATTTGTATATTTTCGGTGTGACACGTTATGTTAGACACCCTGTATGTATGCATATATAATTATATATAGCAACGTTAAAAAATAATTGTACATATTTTAATGGATATTAGATTATTAGATTTTCGAATCGAGTTAGCACACAAGGTACAGAATCATAGAATGCGCTTCGGCGCATATACGAATGCGCCAGTCGAATGTTACAGTCTCTTTACTTCTTTTTTTTTTCAAGTGTTCACAGTGCGATATTGATCATTTACTCGATATGTGAGTAAGAAATAAAAGAATTGGCGCGGCTCATTTTGCGAAACGCGCATATCAATTGGTCCCGATTCTGATTTATATAAAAGCGTATACGCGGACTGATTGAATGAACCGTATCCATCGGCCGGAAGATATTCATTCTGCAAACACACCCCACTCCAACGAACCAATCTCAATATTGTTCACGGTGGGAGAGACGACCCGCGAATACCCATTTAACGATTACAATACATCGCTTGGGCAGGACGCACGAATATTATAAAACTACACATAGAAAAAAAAGGGAAAAAAGTTTAATCTGTCATTTTTTTCCCTCGGTAAAATTGTACTAATAGAGATAGATTTTACTTATCGTTGGTGATCGCGCAATAGTCGAATGAAGGAGCAAGTCGTTGAGGCATGGAAAGTTGGTTTGAAGAGAAGCGAGGTGGGGAGAGGAGGAGGGGGTAATGGGGATGGTAGGGTGGAGTGAGATGGATGCGATAGGCAGCGACGGCAGTAGCGGCTTGACAAGGGTGGGGGAAGATCAATTATTAGCAGATTGTAATGCTAATCAATGGTTACCGGTTAGTGGATTATGTTTACGTAGGCTCTCATCATCGTAATTGACTCGATAGTTGGAAATGTGATTCTGTCCGATGAGAACGATGATGAATGTCGAACTCCCGCTGCTTTTCAACGTAAAATTTTATCACGATAAGATTTTTTATTATAAAACGCTGCATTTTTAAGCTAAAAGTGCGATTGAAATTAGAAAAGGAAGAATGAAAAGTTTTTATATATATAGAGTAAATTGTTTGATATGCACTTTTTAATACAATTTAATGCAATATATTAATATTGTATTAAAGAAAACTAATAATAATATAAATAATAATTAACAATATTAATCTTTTATTATAGAATCGAAGGAAAAGGCGCGCTGTCTTCATCCACGTCGTCGTTGAACATCAACGCAACGAATACTTCGATTCAGTCGGACTTTAAGGAGTCGAACAAGAAGAAACCAGGTTGCAGGGACACAAGCGGTAATAGTGCTAATGTGGCAACCAGTAGTAGAGTGAAGGATAAGAAGAAGGAGAATCATGTTCCCATGGAAACTAGTGACGAGGAGGCACCGTCGATCGACGTCGTCGGTAAGTTTCAAACTGATTGATACTTTCTGCTTTTGCTGTATCTCTAAGCTTGAATCTCTTCGACAATTCGACTTTTACTGTTTTCTAATGCTTTCCAAATACGTGAATTAATATACGACTGTACAAATTAAATTATCTTTATTATAAAAAGGTATTATTAGATAATATTTTAAAACTTCTCTTTTTTTTTTTAATTTATCAAAATTATCTCTGTTTTCAAAAGATTGATATAATAATTGAGATAATGTGAAATAATATTTTGTTGCTGATAGTTTCGAAAAAAACACCGATTTATGGATTTTATTTATATCGTTTAATGATAATTATTTCGTGGTTCATTTTTGTAAAACTTGAAGAATATTTTTCAACATGTATCGATATATGTTGAAAAGAATCTATATAATATATATATACATTATTGAGGTATAAAGCTTTCTATATGACAGAATTAAAATTTTTCTATGCAAGAATGAGAAACAGCAACGAGTTAACATTCAATATAATTAATATAACTTAAGTCTAACTTTGAACTGAACATTTAAATATAATTCGTGCAATAATGTTTTACACGGAGAAATTAACGTTTATTTTTTATTCGTCGTAGCTATCATTTTTCTCACAGTTAAACTGTTTGTGTATATATATATTTATATATATATATTGAAAATTTGGCTACATCAGCTACATAATTACATCGCAGATACTTCTATTCTTATTTTATACAGTTTGTTGATACGCGAAATAGAATGTATCAACACATCAAATATTGCGGCGTGTGTTGCAACATCAAGATATACATATATAACGTTAAAGAATACGCATGAGAGGAAAGAGAGAATTAATTATTATCTATCTAAACGTAAATCAATAATGGTATAAATATCGATTTTCGATCGTTCTTAGGGAGCTTGTTTTCTAGGCTAATCAGTTTATACAATTCTTGAGGTAATTTGAAAGTGTGCTTTATATAATATTGGATGTTAAGCATATAATGTCCATTATTTATATTACATTCTACAATAGAATCCGATTTTTAATTGCCAATCTATTTTATTTGCAATCGTATATTCGATGCGCAAATATCGATACTTTGAGTCCCATTTATCGTTGAAGTGTTATTCCTCTTGCGAAATTCCGTCCACGAATATTTGCGTTGAGAATAGATGAGGGAAAAATCTGAAAGCAATGAAATCATATTAGATCAAAAATATTCTCCTCCAAAAGACCTGCGGTGGCGTATCGCATCGTAAGTGCATAATAATACAATTTCGTTCGATAACGACGCTACTGCATTTATTGGATACATGATTTTGAAGGCACCTTAAGTAACGCATATTGGAAAATTTCATCAGTCACATTTTTTATATAGAACGGTTTTATATTAAATATTTTCGTAAAATTTAGCGAGAATTAAAGATCAATAATATATATTTCAGATTGACTATAAATAATATATAATTAATAAATTATACATTTTATAATTATAAAGTAATTAATTATCTAAATAATTATTTAATTATATTATACACACACAAAATGATTTCAATATAAATTACAGTAAAGGAGAACATTTAAATCTGACATGATAAAATTATAGCGTTAATATTTTTTTAATTTATTTCTAGAAAAGAGATTAACAAAAAAGAGATTATCGAGTTTCGAAAATGACGTTAAAAAATAATCCAATACCTACCTATCCAGAGCGCGAGACATCGCGTCCTCCGGTTTCACGGAGCATCCTGGGGGGACGATGACGCGTTCGCGTCGCGACTCGACGGGTTGGTTCCGTCGACAGCGGCCTGCCTCTCCTCGTCATTCGCGTGGCAGAGCTTGCGGTGCTTGTGGACGAAATAGTAACTCGGGAACTTGCAGCCGCAGATCTTGCAGGGGTAGTACTGCACGTTCAGATCCAGCAACCTGACTTCCCTCTTATTTCCACGGGCGACAGCGGCAGCGGCGGCGACGGCAGTGGTGGTGACTGCGGCAGCGGCAGCAGCAGCAGCAGTAGCTTCCTGTCTCAGAGCGTCGTCGCCGTTGTTGCTGCTGGTGGTCTCGTTGATTCTCGTCGGCGGCAGCAAGTGCCGCTTGGCGTGCTTCCTGTAGCAATATTGCGACTTGAAGGTGTGCTTGCAATAGCCGCAAGTGTAGCAACCGCTGTTGCTGGGGTTGTTGCTGCCGTCGTTGCTGGAGTCGTTGTTGCTGGGGCTGCACGTGAGCTCGCCCCTGCGTCTCGTCGCCGGTCCACCGTTTTCGTCGTTCTCGCTCAACGGGTCCTCGCTCTCCGCCGTCAGCTGACAGTTCCTCGGCGGACGTATCTGCGAGCCGGATCCGTGGGACGACGACGACGACGACGTGGCCGAGGAGTAGTTCTCGTTCAGAACTCGGTGGAAGCGTACGGGTCCGTCGCAGCACGCGATGTCGTATATCACGGAGAAGACGGTGCTCGACGACGAGGAGGCAGTCTCCCTCGCGGCCGAGGTTCGCGCACGACGACGAGACGAACGCGCCCGGTTCTCTCGTTCCGATACCGCGGCGTTTCCGTGACTACGATTCGACGTCCCGTCCTCCGACGAATCCAGTCGCCGTGGTTGGCCATGGTCGGGATTGCGCGACCTGACGGCGACCTCGGATTCCCGTTGAGCCTCGTCGCGGTCCATCGTCGAGGTGTTGTCCGTGTTGTTGTCGCGATGATGGGTGGGCGAGTGCGTCCGCGACACGGAGGTCGGCGCCGGCGAGATCGAGCGCGACGGAGATGACGTCCTCGTCGTGGAATTCGCTCTGCTGTTCGTCACGGCGAACGCGGTGAACGCGGCCGCGGCCGCCGCCACGAACGGTAGAGTCGACACCGTTGACACGATCTCCGGGGTCCTCGATCTGCTGGAGCTCGGCCTCGGACGTTTGTGATGCGTATGCAAGGTCGGTGAAGACTGCGGCGACTTCGACACCTCGCCGGCGCTGCAACATTCGCGCGTGTTTTTCTCTATTAATCTCCAAGTATCTCTTAGCACTCTGAAATATTTTTATTATTATTATATTGTTAATTATTATTATACGATGTTCAAAAAAGAAATCATCTGGATGATTATTTTATAAATTTATGTAGTTAACTTTTTCTTTTTTTTTTTTTTACCTTTTTTTTTTAATAAATTATATTTAACGGTTACATGATTTTATTAATAAACAGAAACAGTTTTTAATGTATAATTTCAAGTTATATGTTATCATCTTAACTAAATTAATATTTTTCTACTGAAAGAAAGCTGTCATAATTAAATAAAAAATCCATAAAATACAATAGCAAGGATCACTATTGATAAATTAAAAACAATACACAATATAATAACAATAATGTAAACCTTATCATAAAATCAATAAAAATTTATATCGGATTTTTTATAGATACGTATATAAAAAATCTTGTAAATAAACTTTACAAGATTATAATTTCCCATTAGTCTTCTAATCTAGGGAACAGAATTAAATCTCTAATCCACATCCACACTCTCTCAAGAAAATACGTTTCTGCATCCAAGAAGAAATACATTTCATCGTTTTATTACTGCGAACCTATAATGCGCGCACTGTTCCTTCTCCCTGGGAGTGACGACGCTGGACGGAACGGTCGTGGGTCGCATCAGGGGTTGCATCGACGGCGGCAGATGATGCGACAGGGTCGCCGGTGCCGGGGCAGCGGGCGAGTAAGCCAGCGGAGTCGTCGGGGGCCAGCAAAGAGGTGGACCCACCACCAGCCGACTGGGTATGGGCCGCAAGATGCTGGTCCCCCCGATCGGCGGCGAGCCAGGGGTCGTCGTCGACAGCGACGACGTGGGCAGCGGCGGCGGCGGCGCCCGCAGCCTCAGCAACGCGGCCCTGCACTGCTCCAGGGCGCCCGGCATGTGCAACAGATGCGTCGCCAGTAGTACACTGTAAACGTTGTCCAGTGTCACCTCCAGCCGCCCGGTGTACATGTAGTTGAGCAGCGGCGCGAAAGCCTCTCCACCTGCCATCAGATCGTTCATTGTTGTTGATTGAGCGCGATTTAATTGACGAGTAGTCTTTTTTCTGTTTGTTCGACAAGGAAGATCGATAGTGTCGCGTATGATTTTTTTTAATTGTTAAAGCCTGTCCCGAAGTTGGGGGAAGATGATTATTTTTGTACGAGAATACTTGAAAAAATGTATAGAGAGGCAGGTTTATAAAATTGGAATTTAGATTGTGGTGAATCGAGGTAGATAGCCACGAATTTGGAATTAATTTATTTTTTTTTTTTTTTTATTTTTTTTTTTTTAAATTATTATATTAAATAGAAAAGTGATTATGATTACAATGCGAGCGTTTCCGAAAACTGCAAATGTAGACTTACCACCGTTTGTGAATCCGGGCTCAATTATCGGATTGAGTTGGATTGAATCGGATAATTATTGGAAAATCCCAATGAGAGATTGGAAGTAGCGGTGGCATACTGCGCGACTGATAAAAGTTTGTTAATTATTCCGTCTCGCCATCGGTTTGATTGTTATTATTTGAAAGCAGTTCTTGGAAAATGTCATTTTTCTCGAAACAAGATCTGAGTACTGCATTTATTGCTTATTTGACGTATCCCGGAAAATAGGTAGCAGCGAAAAAGGTCGCGTAGATAAAAAAAAAGAATAAATAATATCAGCATAAAAAATTTCTCGGAAACTCTTCCATTTTATATCAAATATTCAATTTAATATTCTATATTATAGCAATAAGAGAATTCATCAACGAAATCAAGTTATATATAAATGATGAAACTTGTTTTAATTTTACGTTACATCTTCTTTGACATTCAATATAATAATTCGATCGTGATACCAATTTTTAACCCTTAAGTATCATCTATAGACTCGAAAAAGAAGGATATAGCGATTCTTCCTTCACATATATTTTTTATTAGAAAGATGACTTGAAAAGAGGAAAAGTATAGCTTCTCTCTCGACATACAAGACCTCTCTTCTCGAGCTAAAAAAGAGTGGAATAACCGAAATCAGGATAAATCGGGTGGGCTCTTTATCTATATTTACCAATGGACGAGACCGACACGGAGGTGACCGGTCGCTGGGACTGTCCGTTGGTCGCGGTGACGGCAACGGTCGCGCACGAGGAATCGAAGGGCGAGCCAGCCGACGACGACGACGTCGTCGTCGTCGTCGTCGCCGCGCTCGCCAGCAGGGCCTTGAGGTATCCGCTGTGGGCCGCGAGCACGCCCTTGTGCGCGACGAACTGGTGCTCGCCCTCGTTACCGACCCGCACGACCGTGTCGGGCGGCGAGAAGGTGTCCTGGAGACAGGGGTAGCTGGCGCCGGTGGTGGTACCGCCGCCGAACCACGCTCTGTACAAACCGTACATCGTGTCTCGATCGAGCTTATCGCGGAGATGCCTCGGATTGTCCAACGAGGACGTCCTTCAACGCCCTTCGCTCACGAACGACGTAACATTCCCGCTCTATCCCGAAGAAGAATCGTGGACGAATTTTGAGATGACGCACTGTTGTGTTGTCTTCTCCACAGAATTCACAAATGGAAATCCAAGCGTCATGTTTGTCGAACACTTTCGAAATTGTAATAATAATTTTTGCTTGAAAAATCCTACTTTTCAGATTCGATACTTCTTGGTGGAGCGAGACCGATTGTTGCTCGCGACGATTCGCGCGGACGACACCCTCTTTTGATCTCGATACGGGGACTGATCTCTCGCGGCTCTTTGTGATTTGAACGCCGGCTGGCAGGCACACCGTCGCCGTCGCGCACTGTTATCAGCTGCGCGTAGACACGCTCGCTTTTTCATGCCGGAGCTCTTCTACCACCTACCTACCTACCTACCCTACCGCTCGCGTCGCGTGGGGTTGGTTCAACAACCCCCCCGGGGACCACCGAGAACCGCCCCCGACGAGCGCAGATTGGCGGTGTTACAAGCGATCACGGACGAGAGCTGCATCTGCGCCCGGTGGATTCTTCTCTACGTGAAAGGATGCGTTCCTGATCGCGCCCTCGTTTCGCTCCTACGACCGGGAATTCGCCGATTTTCGAATCCCATCGTGTCACTGGAGATGACGATTAATTCTTCGCATAGTTACACGTCATTTTTATTCGTCGCTCCGAGATTCATTCCGTCAGGGTCGCGCAAAAGTAAATATTAATTAGGCGGTAGAGGAAATCGGGATCTAATTTTTTAGGGAGGTTTTAATTTGCATTTTTTATCGGATTTTTATCTTCGACTATATGTGAGAAAATTTCTAAAAATCAATGAAAATAGGCAATTCAAAGACATTTTTTTCGCATTTTCTCGGAAAAATTTCCCCAAAAAAAAGATACAGCGGATGAGGACAATAAAGTCGCGATACGAGTGCGTGTTTCGTTCCAATTCGAGTCAACTATTCACGCCTGGGTGTCACGCAACATAATAATTGCAGACCTCGAATTAATAACACGTTGAACGTTACGCGATGAAAATCACGCGAGACTCTTGGAACTTTTGAATCAATTTTTCTTGATGCATCAAGTTGCGAGTGAATATTGACGGATAAGAATATTAGTTCGAACATTAATCAACAGTAATGGAATCTATGTTTAAAATTACTTTTTAGTTGCTCTCTGAAGATGGCCTGAAACGTATTTATATTGACGCTGCACATTTGATATTTGTAATAATTTACAATGAAGATAGGAGCCGTCTACTTCCTACGCTTTTGACTTATTGTTATTTTTGAATTATATTCGAAAAAGCCTTTATAATAAATCGCATTGACATTGTTAAACAATATAATATTAAAGAAACAGAGATTGTGTGTGGGAGGGAGATAAAATGTTAGCCCTCTCCCAAAAGACATAGATTCATATACATATCAGAGATAATTAAAATCTATCAAGTTATCAATTTAGTTGCGCAAATATGGACATCTTTATTTTTAAAAATCTCTGTATGTTCATCAATTAGATTTGCTTTTTGACATTTCTCTCTCAATTTGATAAACTTTATCACAAATGCATTATAATGTATTACATTGTTCTCTAAAATATGGAATATTTCGGTACCTTAATTACATCGATATCCCAAACAAGAAGAGAGATGCGCAAAATATAAATTAACATTACACATACTTGCGCGAAATTACAATTATCTCTCGACATAATAATCCAACTACGATACGATCAAGGTTTGAAAAATACTAAGGAGTCTTCCGAAGTGTGTAACGTTTACGCAATAAGCACCGACGTGTTTGGCTGCTCTAAATGAAACGTTAAACGCTAACGCGACGAGATGGATAAAGAGAAGCGGAAGAAGGATGAGGAAAGGAACATCTTTCGAGAACACCAGTTAGATGATGAGCTCTCTCTCTTTCTCTTTCTCTCGCCTTTCGGAGAGCGATCTTTCGCCACGAAGATGCGTCTTTTGCCGGTCTCTTCCTTCCTTTCTCTCTCTCTCTCTCTCTCTCTCTCTTTCTCCACTCTTCTCTCGGAGAAGAGGTCCTCTCGCCCGCGCCTCTGGCCTGGCCTCTCTGATGTTTTTCATCAAATTAACTCTCGCAGCATGAGAGAGTACGCGCTCCTCTCCACTCCGCGGCGGCGTGTTTGCATAATATCGTTTATAATTCAGCTCGCGCTGAATTCCACTTTATTCCGGAGCCGCGATCGTTCGCCCGGCCGGCCCTCTTCTTCGTTCTTCCTCCGCCAGGCAAAGCATACCTCGTCGTGCCACCTCTCGCCCTCGCGAGCTCACCTCTCCGCTACTTATCTACCTACCTACTCTTATCTTGTCGGCGGTTTCGAGCTCCATTCTTACCAGGAGACCGAACGATCCGCACGGTTTAGACTGATTCCAAAAATTCACTGATGATATTGGAGTATTTGTTTATAAGAAGTATGCAAGATGGTTCTGCATTTTTATTTTATTTTATAGCGTAGTGACTAAGATTCTTGCTAACTGTTAACATCTATTTATTTCTTGCTTACTTCTTCTGTCAATTCTACATTGTTCATTAAAACAATGGTGAATATTGTCGGTGGTATGCAGTGAATTTGATTTACTGTATTAATTTATTATGCATTTACGTTTGATTTACTTGAAAAGGCTTATTTTATTTTATTTTGTATTTTATCAACGAAAGAGCAATTGTGTATGCATTTTTTAAAGATATTACTTGCAATAGAAGCATTTGATACATATATAAATTTGTATGAGAATTAACTTGCGTTTATATAGACACGTTGCAGGATTGAGGGAGGAAAGTTTCTTGTAACGAAAATGATTATCGATCCGATGGGATAAGGAAGCATCATTTCGGTCATCGAAGATGAGCGGACTGCGATTTTTCACGACGCTTCCATAAACAAGTTCGATCGTCCTCGGTGAGAATCCGTCGTCCCGACCAGAATGGGGACTCGGCGATTACGCACATTTCCCAGGAGGCCGTCGTTTCAAACCAGAGCTAACAGAGGCGGTTCAGCCTCCTCCCGCGCTTTTGCGCCCCTCTGGCTCGTCGTGTTCGACCCCCTTTCGCAACATCCTCGTCCTCGCGATCAGCGAGGATCGTCGAGATTGTCGTTGCAATAGCAATCAAACAACGTCGAATACAATAGAAAAAGTAAAACCTCTCTCGCCGAGAATGACGTGTCGCGTGAAGCAAATATTTGCTTCGCGGATGCCCAAACTTTCCTCGTATGTAATGATAATATTAGTAATAATAATTAGTATGAAGTAAAAATGTACATTACAGATATAGCAACAACAATTATATAATAGTATATCGCCGCTAGATGGCGGCGTGGGAAATCGGCCGCTTTCCGCACAGAAAACACGCGCACAAAGTGCCACTTTGCCTGCACGTGTAATACAAAATATTATATAATAAATTAAATAAAAAATAATTAATATATTTAAATAGTAATAATAATAATAATAATATCTGTCGCTCTATTTATTTTTGGAAAAATGCGTTTTCGTGTACTTGGCTCGTCTGCCATCAGCAGCGATCACTTTAATCGAGAAAATGAGGACTCGCGCAGATAGGACCCCGTACCGGAAATAATCGTGGCGGCGGAAGAAAAGTACAGGGGTTGGTAGGGGGAGAAGGATCGTCTCTCGAGGAGACGAAAGAACGCTCGCGGTTTAATGCTTCCAACGTCGGTCGAGACAAGCTAAGCAAACACTTTTCGCGATATTACCAGACCCTGTGAGAGCGGACTTACCGCGTGTTCTCCGCCGCGTTTCCGCAGCAGCTACCCTCTTTCTTTCCCTCGTCTCTGCACGTCTTCCCCGTTTTTGACTCCCTTCGTCTTCTCCGCATAAGGAAATAAATCCCTGTTCGGCTTATTTGTTTGCTGTTTATCGACTCTTCGAAATAATCATTTCTCGTCATAATTAATAATTATAATTGACATCAAATTTTTTTTCTAGTATTTAATTTAGTCTCTCGTAATAAACTTGTATTCGTTAAATTATATATTTGTACGCATGATGGACGGTAAAATAGTCATGGTCAGGTCAAAAGAGGTGGACCATCACAAAAGAAGATCAACATTATTATTCATATTTTTATCGGCTCTCAATATTAAGAATATAAATATGAAGTTTTTTTAAATCGGTTAACAGAGCCAAAGCACGAAAAATTAATTGTTCGGAACTGTATCCGATATTAATTTTTCCGAATAATTCCGAATAATTAATTTTTCGTGCTTTGACTCTGTTGGCCGATTTAAAAAACATCATATTTATATTCATATTTGTGTTGCGAATGTTGCTGTGTTCCTTTTTTCAAGATTGCTTAATAATTTGCAATATAGGTCCTTTACCGTAGGAAAATAAATACATTTTCTAGAAAATGAATTAAAACGCTTTAGTTGAAAGAGAGAAAGAAAAAGAGAGAGAGAGAAACGTAAAACTTATTTACTTTATTAAATAAACTTATTTTGAACTGAATCACTTTTTCGATCAATTTTTCTCGTAATATAACGCACGCATGAAAATATCCTATTTTAGTAGAAATAACAGACGAAAATATTGCACACATATTGCACGAACGCTATTTCTGTAATATTTTATTTAGAAAGAAATAAACATATAACTCTTCTAAATTATAATAATATATTCCAGGAAAAAATCAGAGGAAAGAATCATCCGATTAAAAAATAATTTCCAAGCGTCGCGTCTGTTTTTTTCTTTCTCTCTCAAAAAATAGATACGTATAAAATTATCATTTCTCGATCTGATTCCTCGAGTATTCGCGAATACTCGCTCGTCGTTCCGAGATTCATTTACTTCTCTTAACACGCGAGAGCGCGTTAATTCAATAATACGCAAATAAATGGCGGCTCGCCTAGATCACACGTGATCGCGGAGTAGTCATAGCAAATTGCTGGGAAAATTAAATACCCGGGGATCCCGTCATGCATCGGTCATTTGGCGGTGGTGGATGATGATGAGGGTGAAAAAGAGGGGGTTGAAACCAGGGCAAACGGGAGGTGGAAAGCCGCGCGCGCGCACCTGGCACGAGCTAATTAGCGTCTTGATTTACTTAATCCCAATTAATGCCTCTCTTTCCATCTCTCTCCCACCGCCCCCAATCTCCTCTATATACGTTCTTGTGTGTATTAGCCGGGGGATGGAGGGCCCTCTCGCTCGAATTCGTGCACGCTTCCGTTCCGCAAATACGCCGGATTATCCACGTGTGGATACACACGGCACAGGCTAATATATACCGAGAGACTTCGCCGTATATGCATACCTGTACGAATTAACTGCTGCTAAGCATTC